TCATCAAAGCAATTTGTTTTGCATAAGTCTTAGTTTATTAACATCGTTCAATTTTGATTTTAGATCATGTGATTTGTCGAGCAGATTCGTGAGCTATGATTTTGCATCACTCAATTTTAGGCCAGCAAATAATAGGTAAAATAAAATAAAAAATTCTGTACTTGTGATGCAGATATCTCAAAGTTTTTTAGTAAAATGTTTTACTTCTTGTTTCCAAGCTTATTCCACATTAATAGTTTGTGTATTTTGCAGGATGTTCTCCTCATGGACTCATTTTGTCTTAATTGTTGTAATTATAAATAGTGGAGTATCAACTAAAGGTTTATTTTCTTTTAATGTTTCGTAAAGTGTCCTCAAATTATTGTTATGTTCGTAAAGTGTCTTTTAATATTGTTTTGATGTTAGATGATGTAACTAATGAAAAGATTATACGGCTTTTCATCATTTATGAATGTGGTTGTGATCAATTTGATAAGATAAAATGTTTTTGTTATTTTATTGAATAACAAACACGCGTTTTTTTCATTGCTTTTAATATTAATTTTTTTTCTATTAAACTACTAAACTCCGATTGAATACATGCAACTTGAGAAGAAGTGAAGTGATTAGGCCTAACTACTTGATTTAAATCAGATTTAATTTTATACCTATAACCGGCGCCACGCATGTGGGTTGAACCTGATTGGTTTCTGAGTCGACAAATGCCACAATTTGCCTTCCCACGGCGATTACAACCAATTACAACTACTAACATCTTAATTCGAGACAGTTTCGAAACGAAATTCTTTCCAAATAATACAAAAGCAAATATTTATAAGCTTGAATGCGTCGAGAAAGATATCAAAGATATAAAAGTAGAGAGAAGGCAAAATCTTGTATCTAACCTCTCTGCATGGAGGAAGCAAAGTTAGAAAGCCTTGCCTTGCACCTGGCTATAGTGCTGATGATGATGATGAAGGAGAAGCTACAACCTTTAGTTTAAAAGAAATCGCAATGGAAAGATTTCAGATTGATATGAGGCTGTTTATATTAACAATACACACTCTCCTTAACGTCACGAAATAAATAACTAAATCAATTTACTATTTTTTTTTAACAAAAAGATGTACTTCGAGAATTGGAACATTGGAGACGGATGTTTTAAAAACCTAACAGCACTATTATCAGTTCTTACTGTTTGTTTATATGTCATAGTTGTCCAAATCATTGTAAACCAAAAAGTAAAGCATGAAGTTTGCCAGCACTTTAAGAAAAAGATTATGTTAAATGCGTTTGTCAGAACATAGTGGTCCTTAAAAATTATTATAGTGACTTATAAATTTCTGTCATAAAATGTATTTCATGTTTTTGAAAAGTAAACATGAAACATTCTTGATCACCATAGTAATTCGATGACTCAAACACATATAAAGAGTTATGCTATGGATGGGATGAAAATCATTATAAACCAGAAGGTAATGCATGAAATTTGCTAGCACTTCAAGAAAAATATTATGTTAAGTGCATTTGTCAGAACGTCTAGTGATCCTTAAAAATTATTATAGTGATTTAAAAATTTTTGTCATAAAATGTATTTCATGTTTTTCAAAAGTAAACATGAAACATTCTTGATCACCATGATAATTTGATGACTCAAACACATATAAAGAGTTATGCTACGGATGGGATGAAAATCATTGTAAACCAGAAGGTAAAGCATGAAGTTTGCTAGCACTTCAAGAAAAATATTATGTTAAATGCATTTGTCAGAACGTCTAGTGGTCCTTAAAAATTATTATAGTGATTTATAAATTTTTGTCATAAATGTATTTCATGTTTTTCAAAAGTAAACACAAAACATTCTTGATCATTATGGTAATTCGATAACTCAAACACATTCAAAGAGNATAACTCAAACACATATAAAGAGTTATGCTATGGATGGGGTAAAAATTTATAGCACTTACATTAAAAACAACTCGGATAGGATTTTTGTTCTCAAATTTCAAGTGGTAATAAACTTGAAGCTCTAGTATTTTATTATTAATTTAATAAATAGGCTTACAATGATTTTGGCCTCCAGTATATGTAAACAATCTAGACAAACATATGAAACCAGATAATCGTGCCATTAAAATTTGAAGTGAAAGCAAAATTTAATTAAAGTTTCGATGCTTGTTATTTCGCTACCACTTAAAATATTGTGGGGAGCTAAAACTTCTGGGGTAGTTTCAATGCTTTTAAGTGTTTGCTAAACCGGATGAATTATCCTCTGCTTTGATTATAAGTCCTCTGCTTTGAAGGTAATCGAAAAACCTCATTCTGGAAGCAAATATGGTCTAAAAACCTTTACAAATGAAAATCATTGTCTTGAGATTTATTTAATTTGTCTTAATTTTTGACTGCACTATTTTAAGTCTCGAGAAACTTGAAATTCTACTTGCTTAAAAAGGCGAACCAGTTGGTCGCTGGAGTCGGTTAGTATTCGAATAAAATACAGTCAAACGTTAAAAAGCGGTCCGAAATTTTTTCAAACATCAATATTTTAGAGAAAACAAGATATTTCCAGTGTCTATTAATAATTGACGGTAAATATAAATATACGGTATAATGATTTTAATTTTTAATCACAGTGTTAGATTTGATTACACAAATTGTTGCCACTCTTTACATTTTCAGTTCTGTTTAAGCAGTGGTCGCAGTGTGTAAGCATTTAAAATGTACTAGTTGATTTAGTTTACACTATCAAACAAAAGTATAAATTGGCGTTAATGCTGATGCAATATTTAATATTTAGATTTTTACTTTACGAATAATACCGTTATGAGTTTTAGAACTAAATATTATTAATTAAATTGTTATTATGCTACAGTAGCTAATAGAGAGCAACCCGACACAAGTGGTAATAACCAGGACGGTCGGGTCTCTACTTTAACAGAGGTACACTTTTTAGTTAATAAAGTTTTTTATGATCTTAACGTTATGAATATTTGTTAATTCTTCCCTTTTTCG